GGTTTAAGCTCGCTCACTCTCTCTCTTCCCACCGCAGGTACAGCTCCCATGGCTGCGTCTGGAGCCCAGGTCGGTGCCTCCCACCCCAAATCCACGTTGGTGTCGATTATTTTGGGTCCAAAAGGGGGTTGTGGTGAAGAGAGGAGATTCCCGTTGCCCTGAGCGCTTGGGTGCTGGGGATGCACCCGGAGACGCTCACCCCCCACCCCCGAGCAGGAGGCGAATCGCTCCCTGGCTGTGGCTGCCTTGGGGTTGTTGGCGTCCCCAGCTCTTCTTTTTTTTTGCGGGGGGGGGGGCAGAGCTATTTGAGGTTTTGGGGGTTGCTCTTAATAAGGTGGAAACATCAGAGCCTGCATGAGATGGTGAGGAAGGTGGAGGGAGACCCTTGTAGATGTCCCCTGGTCTTACGCGATGGAGAGCGACTGAAAACCCAAAGTTTGGAGCCAGTTTTCACCCATTTCTCCCTTTTTTTTTTGTGTCCTCACCAGGCGAGCCAGAGCCCAGCCTTCTCCACGCCGATGCCCTGCAGCGCCTCGTTGTCCTGTCCCATGGTCATGGCCAAGAGTGCGGTTTTGTCCCCGACGTGAAGCCCCCGGCCCCAGGCAGTGCCTCCCAGCTGGTGTGGGAGTGCATGGCCGGGCACAGCTTCTCCTGGGGTGTCCCCGGGGCAGCGGGGGACTGTACCCCCACGACCGGTCACCATGGAGAGGAACATCAGGAGGATTTGGGGTGTAGCTCTCCACCGGCCACCGCCCGCCGGCGCTCGCTCCGACGAGCAGGGCTGGCTGCCAAGTCCAGCTCCAGGAAGGGTGAAGCTGAACCAGAGGGAGCAACTCGGTCGCCCATGGGTGATGGGGACCAGAGGGAAGAGCCAGGAGCTGGTAGTGATGATGGTGATGGTGGCAACGCAGGTAGGTTCTCCACCCTCATTTCCCCATTGGCTTCTTGAATCCCCATCTCCAGCCCTTCTCTCAGTCCCAAGGGCACATCGACAACCTTCCCACTGGGATCAGGTGTTGCCCCAACCCTGTTGCCTCCCTCTTCCTCCAGAGATAAAACAAATCTCTGTGCCTTTGCTGGAGAAACAGGTAGAGGAGTCTCTTACCAGGCTTGTTCCTACCACAAAACGAGCCCGTATCTCCTCCCTCCTTTCCTTCCCCTGCAAAAGCAGAGCTGGGGGATCTCAGGTTCAGGTGTTGAGCAGAAGATCTCACGCAGATGCAGCTCTTGGCAGTTGCCAAGAGCCGCAGCTCTCGTCCTTTCTCCAGACTGAAAACCGGGGTGGAAAAATCTCTTTTTCTTCCCCTGTAAAGCTACTTGAGAAGAGGTTGATCCTCTTCCAGTAGAGTATTTTGGAGTAACTTGCCCCTCGTTTCTTCTGGTTAGAGTGATGGCACCATGCAGATCCTTTCCAATGCCTGCAGGCTTCCCAACCCTGCTGCCAGATCCACTCCCCATCCTCCTCCTCCGCCTCTCCCAACGTCCCGGCTCAACCAGCCCTGCTTCAACTTATTCCTGTCATCTCCTTGCAGCTCCCCAAGGGCCAACGGAGACAGGGACCATGGCAAAAGAGCGTGGGAGGTGAGTGGTGGCATGCATGAGTCTTCCGCAGTCTATAACTGGGCTCTCCAGAGCTGAAGGTCAAGTTTGGACCCATTCATCTCATCCCTTGAGTTCTCCAATGGGCAGCCAACGTTTTAACGAAGACCTTCCGGGATAAAACCCGTTGCGGCAGAGCTGACTTTGATCATTGCGTTCCTGCAGCGTGCCCATCCCAGAGGAGAAAGCGGAGCAGGGGGCTGAGCCCCAAGAAGAAGAGGGGGAAGAGGACGACGAGGACTTTGCCGAGGATGATGACCTTACTTACACCGATGATCTGCGTGATGAGAACTACCATCCATCTCTGGACAGGTGAGGTGCACGTAGAGCTGCTGGAAAGGAGCCCATGGGCTGGGACCACATGAGAACCAGTCCGCAGGCTCCCAGTCACGCTGTCCCAGTCAAGACAGGTATCACACTGGGCGGGTTTCAGACCTTAGATCTCGGCCACCCTCAGCTGACCCTAGCAGAGATAGGAGGAGATGGGAATAATGTCCTTACATCACCTAAACAAGGTGCTTCTGAGCTCAAAAGGGCAGAGCCTTTGGGGGAGACACCTTCTTTCACTCTCTCTGCCTGGGTGAGGGTCCAGCCAGTGTCCTGCCACGTCCAGCCAGTGTCCTGCCACGTCAAACCAATGTCCTACCACATCCAGCCATGTCCAACTAACGTCCTACCCTGACCTACCACATTCAACCAATGTTCTACCCTGTCCAACCAACGTCCTACCACATCCAGCCATGTCCAACTAATGTCCACCCTGTCCTACCACATCCAACCAATGCCCTACCATATCCAACCATCTAAACCATCTTGCCTATCCCACGTCTGTCTTCTCCCCCAGCGACTCTGAGCCACAGCGACGACAAGGCCAGACCAAAGCCCGTAAGAAACCCGTAAAGGAGGAGCAGCCTGTGAATGAGCCGAGCTTGACCAGCTCCAGCCCACCGGAGGAGAAGGTTGGACGAGTCAGGTGAGTCATGACAGCTGTGTTGGTGTGGTGACACTGGGGACAGGCATTGGGGTGCCTTGACTTGGGGCATCCACCTCTCCGTGGCCACTGAAAGAGCGTTTCGGGGCATGTTGGAGATGCTGCTGCTCTCCATGCTGAGAAACCAGATGGAAACCATCCAACCCAATGATAAATGACGTTCCAGCCCTGGGCTCTGGGCAGGGCAAGAGCCACGTGTCCCCAGGGGGGGTTTAATGCTTTTCCTTGCGGTGCAGTCGTCCATTGCTTGGCCTCGTTGGGTGTTGGAGCTTGCAAAGGGTGGGGGGGGCAGGTCTGGCATGCCAATTTTGCTATGGGGGCGGGGCTTAACAAGTCTTCGTTTCATCCACTGTGTCTCTCGTGGAGCCGGTCCTGGGCGGTTGGGGAGCAAGGACGTGCCACTGGGGCAGGGGTTGCCCCTGGAGGGGGCTGAAGACCCCGTAAACCACCACTGTGGTGGGCGTTGAAGCCTCTGAGCAGCCTGGAGGTTGCAGCAGCAAAAAAACATATCCGTATGTCCCAGCCCTCCACCCCCTGCGGAGCAGAGAGACTCCTGTCTCCACCTCCAGATCCGGGGCTTCCCCAGCAGCCAAAGCAGCTCTATATGGCCCAGCTATTCTGCCCAGCAGCTCAAGGCCATGGGGTGATGCGAGTAGCGACGGCAGCGCTGGCAAACCTCAAGCATTGGTGAAGGGAGAGCTTGATAACGACCACCCTTGTTTAATTTGTAAGTGCTCTTCTCCACTTCCCGTTTGAGGCTGAGGGTTGGGTTTTAATCTTCCCTTCCCGGCCATGTTGGGCTCAAAATTCACTTTTCCCTTCTAAAGAAGCTCGAATCATCACTCCAATTATTTGCTGGGTCTTGATGCGAGGGTTATTAAATAGAAGTCGGTCTCGATGCTGGAACGAGAGGACGGCCCATGCGTTGCCTCTTGGGTCTGGCACACAAGGAGACGTCACCTTGCTGGATTTCCTTAACGCTTTTAAGACGACGAGGGCGTTAAAAACCCCCCCTTCTCCTGTTGGGAGTTCGCCGGAGCGACCATGTAACACCGTAAAGCATCTCGCCTTTGTGTGGCCTATTGGAAGAGGGGACGGGCAGCCAAAAGCCCGCCCCCAAAATGCACCACGTAAGTAGCGTGCTGGGCCGTTAAGGCTTTTATTGCTTTGCTTTTTTGCTTTGACACGGTATCGCTGCTTCTTTTTGGTGCTCAACGCCCCCTTCCCCATCTCCTTGCAGCTCTGAACCTGCCACGCCGTCTCGCTGGAAGAGCCAACGCCCTCCCGGAGACCCCGTCCCAGCAAAGGAAAACGTGATGGTAAATACGGCGTTTGCTTTTCTCCTCTCCGCACCCGCCCCTGGTCACGTAGCACCGGGGGGCACCAAGCTCTAAAATTCAATTTGAGAGTGGAGGGGTTTGGGTTGGGTCTAGGTAGGCCTCGTTAAGGCCAAAAGTGAATTAAAAAAGGGATTTTTTTTTTTTTTTTTTTTTTTTTTTTTTTTTTTTTACATCCTTCTGGCATTTTTGGGTCCTCCACGCTTTCCATTCAAAATCCCGGTGTTGCGACCTCCGCAAGTGCCTACAGATGCACCTAAAGGCCAGGGGAGATTTGCAGAAGTGGCTGATGGAAGCGGCCATTGACTTGCCTGGGCAACCAGCGCCGCCTTGGAGCTTTTAACCCCCCTCTCCAAAGCCCCGCCTAAACTTTAAGTCAGCGCTGCCCCTTTTTAAGGCTGAGCTTGGGGACAGAGATCATATTTATGAGCATTTAATTCCTTTTTCCCCCCCTCTTTTGTCACAGCAACTGGAAGAAGGACGTTAAAAGCCAATTTTAAGAGCAAAAGCGAGAGCCTCCGGGCTTCGGAGCGTTCGTCCTCTTCTCGCTTCCCCAAGGTAATGCCATCGTGAGCCAAGAAACCATTTTTAAGAGATTGTGGACGAAGACGCCCAGCCTCTATTTTAACCCATGGGGAGGATGATGTGGTCTCGGCATCATCGTCATCTATTAAAACGATCTCTTAATTTCCCCTCCCTGCAAAACCCGCGCTTGGTTTTGTTGGTTTTTTTAACGTCTCTTTCTCTAATTTCAGGGTGTCAGCCCCAAATAGCTGCCGTTTCCACAGAGCTGTGGATAAATTAGAGGTGAAACGAGGCTTGGCATGAGGTTGACGGTGATCTCCAGTGTCCTGGAACGTAGCCAAAACCGTGCAAAAGATGTTTTTGTTGGTGTTGTAATGAGTAATAAAAGGCTGCATTCCCACTTACCCCGGCTGAGAGGTGTATTTGTTGACGTCGGTTCCCCCGCTCTTCATGGGGAGAAACATTGAGTTCCCCAAATGGAAGCAATCAAAAGAGAAACGGGCACCAGGAGGACGGTTTTAACGCGAGGGGGGGGGTTGCTTGGAAATCCAGCCCCTGCAAGGTTGGAGGACGGTGGCTTCTCGGCTCCGTGCTTGGAGGCCAAGAGAGGGGACAAGAACCTCACTCAAGACCCTTCTTTCCTGTTGCAGCTGCAAGAGGCGAGCGCGCCCGTGCGACGAGGACGTGGCCCAGATCGGCCCGAAGAGGATCAGGTACCTGGGGTCGGTGGGGAAGGGGAAGCTGCCGCGTCATTTCCCGGCCCTTCAGGAGGGTGAGAAGGTGCAGCTCCGCTCTTCGGTGGTGGGACGCCCTTAGCAAGCAATGTTTGCTCTGATAGGAGCCTCCTGAGGGGCTTTAGTTCCTTAAATGAAGCTTTTGATGGGTGGGTAAGAGGGAAGATGGGTGAGGAGGACCTGCTGGGGTGTCAAATCCAAAAGCCACGGCTTTTTTGGCTCTCTTCCCTGCTCATCCTCATCGGCCATGGTTTTTCCACCCTCTCCTGCCGGACGG